GGCCCTTTAATGTAGTTATATATTGTAAGTTAAAAAAAATAGTATAATGTAACACAAGTAAGTTGCACAAATAAAAAGTGTTATAATAAATATATAATAATATATATATTCTTATAAAAGGTATTTAAATTTTCAAACTACTTTTTCTCATTAATTTTAGATTTTAAGAAAAAAAAATTAACAAGCACCCGTGTAATACACGGGTGTTATACTATTAGGTGAGTAATTTGAAAAATGCTACATCCACCCATATCCACTCATATATTAATCCAGAACGCGCTGAGCCTACGTGGCTGCTTCTGGTGCTTCGGAATACTATGTGGCAAAATTACATGCTTTGTTATTAGGCTTGGGTAAATTTTAATTACTTACAAACCAAAAATAATTAGGTTCGGATTACCATAAACATGTTGATTATTTTTGGTCATGTTACATGTATTAATTGCATTTTTAATATCATTCCTTATTATAACTATTGAATTGTATATATATTTTAAAAGTTAATAACTTTTGTATTTTTTTATCAGTTTTACATATGTAATATATCAAATTAATCTTCTTTTGATGAACTTCGATTTAACATCTATATTGTATGTATAAAAAAATAGTTTATATTTATCTTTAAAACAATAATAAAATTATTTTTAATATTAATTAGAAAATAAAATTATTTATCAACTAATATATTTATATTTCAAGTAGTTATATGATATAAGTTATAAAAACTAATATAATATAACACATGTAAGTTATAAGTAACACATATCATTCTAAAATATATAGTAATATATTTTTTTATTAAAAAAGTAAACTAAATTTAATATAGTTTTCTCATTAATTTTGAAATTTAAGAATAATTTTTTAACAAGCACTCGTGTAATACACGGGTGTTGTACTAGTTACAAATTAGTAACGCTTAGGCTTGATTGTTTACAAATTATTTTACTTACTTTTATTTCACCTCAAAATTTAACTCAATTTTAATTCACCACACTATCTTTAATATTATTCATATAATTAAATAATACAAATCAATCATTCTTACACATCACATCAACTTTAATTCACTATTCATCCACTCACATAATTTTAACTACCTATCATTTTCAATCATTTTCAATCAATTATCTCTTATTTTACATCAAATCAAGTTTAATCATTTTATTTTAAATATTATTTTAATACATTCTTAAAATTTCACTAACAACTAACCATACACCTTTTTCAAAATTAACTATGGTTAACCAAAATAACTCATTTTGAACAAATTATTCCATAAACAATCAAACCCTTAGGCATTCACAGACGCAGCTCTTTGGTTCCAAAAACCCCTAATCCCCCATCTACTGTGGCAGCTCGCCTCTTTCGATCTATATTGAGTTGTCTCCTCTTGGTTGTAGCTTCGCCGCCTTCATGGAGACATCCCTTCCAGCGCAGGGCTCACCCATTGGGTAATTCTGTTACTTCATTCGATTTACCTTGCCCTCATTGGGTAAGCTCGTCGACTGTTTTGGTGGCGATTTTTGATGGGATGAGGGACACGGTAGCGTGCTCGGGTTCGTCGGCCTTTGCTTTTTCTTTTCCTCCGTCTCCTGGGGCTGAGACGGGGAGTGGTCGTTGGCAGATGCTCTCTTTGGCTTTGTGCCTTTGGGTTTCAGTCGGTTTTGTGGTGAGATGAAGATGGAGGGGGTTTCGGGGGCGTTACTCGGTCAGTCTCTGTTCTTTGGGTGGGTCTAGGTAGCCGTCACCTGCTCTTGGTGAAGGGAGTGGTTAGGTTTGCGTTAGGCCAAGGGTCTGACTCGGGAGGTTGTCTTCGACTCTCGCCTCCTTGGTGACTCTGATTTGGTTGCTCCTCCGGCGAGCTGGCGGTCACAGATATCGAGTGGTCTCATCCCATGTGCGAATGTCATGGCGGCGGTGGTTGTTGGTCACTGGTTCTTGGGTGGGGCATGGGTTGGGGCTTGTAGCCGTATGCGATTATTGGCCGAGTTCGGGGCTTCGTGTTCTCTGTCTTCTTGTCTATCGATGACTCTAGTCCTCGGGTCGCGGCAGCTGATTGGCGTGAAGGGGAGGACATTTGGTTTTGGTCACTTGGAGTTATCCAAGGTGGTCTCTTAGGGAAGGCTTCAGGTCCATCGGTCTGGGTCGAGTTAGCCGCATGGGGAGTTTCTCAACCCATGTGTTTTTGGGCTGGGGGTTTGGAATCGGTTGGCTGGCGAAGGTCTTGGTTACTTGTCCGAGTGGTGGGGAGGGCGTGCTTTCTAGTAGTTTGTTTTTGTGTGTTTGTTTCGTTGTGTGTTTTTTGTTTTCAATGGTTAGTGGTATGATTTTTCTTATGTGTTTTGTTTCACCCGTGTAGGCTTTTGTTGTATTCTCCTGCTGTGAGTAATGTTTATTTCCTATTGGGAGCCTGTGTGTTTAGGTTTTGTGTGATGTAATTGAGTTGGTTCTAGGCTGCCTCGGGCTTTCTGCCTATGGGGTTTCTCCTCCCAACTAGATTCAGTTAAGTAGCTGACTTATTCAGTTGTTTACCTGTTGTAATTAGATGTTTTTCTTTTATAAAATCCTGTCGTTCAAAAAAAAATAGTCGAATCAAGCAACTACAAGATTGTATGGAGTGGAAGAAGAACCAGAAAGGAAACCTAGACTACAAGGAGAATAAACATCCAAACAAAGTACATAAAAACACATAGCACACACAGCCCCTAACCACTAGAAGAAAAAAAGGAAACACAACCTACTGACTAGAATAAGACCTTCCACACTAGTCAGACACTACTCCGAACATCCACCATGCGAACCAACACCTAATGACACTCAGCAAAGACAGAACTTCGACCCAAGACACAAATCTAAAAACTCCCTTCAAGTGATGGATGATTAAATTCGGACCCAACTGACAACACGAGGAGGCTCGCGCCAAACCCATCCCCCAATATATTGCAATATTTATTTGATTTGGAGACTTTTTAACCCGAACACGTATAATCTCCCTTCTAAACAGTAAAATTTCACTCCTCGTCGAATCTATATGGCTTGAACCGGTAGAATCTATCCAAGCCCATTGGCCCACCCCATGGACCGCCGCGTTGTATTTTAATGGAATGTTGAAGTCAACGCACCAAACGTTTGAACATATGACATTCAATCTCGGTAAGCTGTTAAATTGCAAGTTGACCAATCACAAGGTACATTATCTTTGAGTTTCTCAAGCCAGGGCCAAACTTAGTTATATCCACTCTTTTTGTTCAGCTTAATTATCATCAATTTATAAAATAAAGATGGAGTTGAAAGCTATATATCTTTGATTTTTTCAAGCCTGCAGGGGCCAAACTTATTTATATCCATTCTGTTTGTTCAACTTTTTGCTGTAGTTTGTCCGGTTATTTTTCTTGGAAATTATTTAATGACATATTTTTTTTTTTTATATATATATAAAGGAAGTATAAATAATATGCAATAATATTGATACGTAATGTTATATGACATCAGTTAAACTAAACGAACGTGATTAATTAGGAATTACCGTGCTCACGCCTAACACGCACCTCTCGTTTTAAATAAAATGCTATGTAGAAGGAAATGGAAAATTTGAAATAAAAGTATAACATATTTACTTTTATAAAATTATTTAAGGAGGATATATATTGATTTGATATATATTTTTGGTGACATTTCGATTTTTTCTTTTAATCCAACACTTTTAAAGATTTTTTATTTAATTTAAATGACATGTTTATTAATCTTAAGTATAAATGTGAGATTTTGTGGTAGGATTTGGCATAAATAAATTATATTTGGAAATCTCAGCAAAATCATGAAGAAACGGGATTGACAGGGTGCGATCGCACGAACGTAAAGTGCACCAAAGCAAGGTGGCAGGGCCTAGATGAGTTTTAGTGGGGTTTCATTCTAAAACTAATTGGTGGTAAATAATAACTCACTAGCTAGGCTTATAAGTTAGACATATTTTTCATGTATAGACGATGCGAACTAATTGGTGGCTAGGCTTATTCTAGGCTACATACATTCTCGTTAACTCAATTATATAGTTATTTCAAATAGTTAGATGCTTGTAATTATGTGTTTATTAATAAAATCTCTTGTTTATTTATTTATTTATTTATTTATTTTTTAAAAAAGTACACCTCTTACCCAATTTTATCTAAAAAAAAATGAAATTCTTAAAGTGAATCAACCCACTAGTGCACTTGTACAACTATATATGAAACAATTAATAAATAAAACTGAGTGCATGCATTCAAGTTCATACTATCTTTTCTGACTCTTGACTAGACTTTACCTGCTCCAAAAATAATAATAATAATAATATTCAGTCATTTTACTCGT